TAGTATAACACAGATAATATCCTAACGAAGCGTAACTCAATATGCCTATATAATAAATTAATACTACTGTAATAGTAAAACACAGTAAACATTAGGCAAATTGAATTACTATACTTTATTATTATAGTAGAATTAATTAACTGTATACAACTTAGGCATATTGACTTATTATATACAGTTAATTATTGCTACTACAGTAATAAAACACAGAAAATGTGGAGATTTAATCTGCTTAAATTTATGCGGTTAAATAATGCTATTACAGTAATAAATGAGGAAAGCATTATTATTTAACACAGCAATTCTTAACTGTGTCTAGTTTTATAATGCTAATATAGTAATAAGATGCAAAAAAATCATTGTTAAACATAGAGATCCGTACTGTACTTTATAATTATAGTAGCATTATATGTAATATGTATAGTAATGCTACTACCGTTATACATTAGCAATACGTAACAACGTAATGCTACTATAACAATGTATGTTACGTAATGCTACTACAGTTATGAAATGATGCTCTTTCATCGAAAGATTGCGTTTACTTTTAAATCCGTGCTACTACAGCTCTAATAATAAAAAAAAAATCGATTTATGCCTCGGGCATCAATAAAAACACTGCAGTTATTTTATATATTTTTTTTCAGTTCTAAATGAGTAAAGAAATAAAATTCTTCTATAGTTAATTAACCTAAATAGCATCTTTTATAAGATCACTACTACTATAGGATTTTTTATTTCATCAATAAAATGATTTTTATTAGTACTAAACGGGCATAATTTAGTGTCATTTCCGTAGATTGTTCGTTGGGTAATGTATATGCTACTAGGGGAATAAAAGGGAAAAAACCACGCGCGAGCTCTTATGACGTTTGTTTCTTGAATTTCCTCCATTTTATTAATATTAAAGTAGTATAAAGTCGATATGAAAATAGCCGTTTTAGGTAAATACGTTACTCGCTCTCTACTACATTTGCAGTAATATTTGGTTTTCGTAACGCTGTCTCGTTACGCGACATATTACGCTTGCTATTGTAGGAATAACAGTGACTGACTGTATCAATAATAAAATGCTAGTAGTTACTCGAGAATACCCTTTATTAAGGGAATGCCCAAAGTGGGACAAAGCAGTAAACTACCTTGGTCCTCGATGAAGTTGGGTCCCCTTATACGATGTATTTTTTTCCTTTACTTTCTGTTAATTTACTTTGCTGTAGGGCCCCTACACGATATTTGTTTTATTTTCCTGGCTGTAGGGCCGCTACACAATATTTCTTTCGGTTCTAAGGTCATCAATATATATTTCGTCCCGTTACCGGTGGGCTTGTTTATTACTATAGTGGTAAATTCTAGATTCTGGATCTAAAATATGCAAAAATGAAAATAAATAAAAAATTCCTGTTGTACTTCCATAATTAGCACTCTGTTACAGTAACAATAGCAAGCGTTACATTGTTAATTTGATTAGAAATGAGGTAAACTCACGAAATTAACCTATTTCATTATCTTATTTCCGTAGTAGCAAGGAGAAAGGATGCTATGGTAGCAGGAGAAAGAATGCCATGGTAGCAGGAGAAAGAATGCCATGGTAGCAAGGAGAAAGGATGCCATGGTAGCAGGGGAAAGGATGCCACTGAAGCAGGGGAAAGGATGCCACGGAAGCAGGAGAAAAGGATGCCATGGTAGCAGGAGAAAGGATGCCATGGTAGCTGGGGAAAGGATGCCATGGTAGCAAGAATGTCATGATAACAAGGGGAAAGGATGCCATGGAAGCAGGGAAAAGGATGCCATGGTAGCAGGGAGAAAGGATGCCACGGAAGCAGGGGAAAGGAAGCCACGGAAGAAGGAGAAAGGATGTCATGGTAGCTGGGGAAAGGATGCTATGGTAGCAAGGAGAAGGGATGTCATGATAAAAGGGGAAAGGATGCCATGGAAGCAGGGAAAAGAGAATATTTTTTGAATTAATTAAAATGCTATTAAAGTAACAATAAACGTCGAAGGTTATTATCAGGCACGAAGAGTAGAGAATACGATATTTTCTAGGCCAATACACCGTGCTATTAAGGTAATAAAAGGCAAGAAATCTTACACAATTGCAGGAAACACAAGCTTTTACCGATATATAACCCGTGTAATAACCACAATTTGTTACTGTATCAGTACGTCACGGCACAATCTAAATTCGATCTCCAATCTCTTAACCAGGACAGCTTCGTTATTACGTCACTTAATTAAATACAAAACGTAAATTTACCGCAAGTAATGACATTATTGATGCTACTTTAAGAATAAAAGAGACGTTTAGCTTTTTAGATGCAAGCTCGAAATTAAAAATATAATAATAATAATATAAAATTTCATTTCGGTAACGTCACAAATAAATGTATAACAATTAATTATTAATTCCTACAGAAGTATTAATTTAGTTATCTATTTCCATAGAAATATTACAATTTTTTATATGAGGGTATGGTCATCAATTTTTATTTCTGTAGAAGTATGGATATATGATAATTTTGTTCCCACAGAAGTACCATCGTCTTTTATATTCCTACAGCGGTGGGTAGGCGTACTTAATTCCTATAAAATCACATTATTCTCAAAGAAGTACGATCCTTTCACGTTCGTATAGGTGTAAGGTATAAGGCATCTTTATTCCTATAGAAGTACGTTGGAATTTTCTACTCCTGCCGAAATCTGATGTCAGTGAGTTACTTTTTATAGTCCTGTAGGAGCTTAATCGCCTTATTTACGCCTATAAAAGTGTAGTCACGTTTTTATTCCTGTAGAAGTATCAATTTTTTCCCCTCTGCATCGGCACTAGATGTGCAATTCTCAACATGGTGCATCCCCCAACGGAACTTCCGTTTGACGTGAAAACATCTTATAATTGATGAGGTGACGGTTGAACTAGGATTCCCTATTTTCTTTACCAATTTCTATTTTTTATTCCTACTTTATCGAATCAAAATTCAATTTTAACAAAGTTTATTCCCTTCCTCTGTTATAACTCATGCTACTGTAAGAACACTGCAAACACTTCTTTCTATACACTTAATTGAAACACAGATATATTATTTTTTCCCATTCATCTTAACACCCTTTTCATATGTGTTACGCTTTGCCATTTTCTACTTAATCTCCTATTCGTTTCCTATTCAACTGTTATAGTAACAATCATTTTTCTCATTGTTTCTTCCACCCAATTTTCTACCATCCCTCATACTTCACACTTAAGTAAGGTATCAATAGGAAAGTTTCAATAATAAATCGAATTTTTTAACCCCGCGGCTTGACCGTAACCGGTAACATTTACTTTTTGTGTACCAAACTTTTCGTTTGAATCTCTCTCGAGTTACGCTCGTAACGTTGGCAAATATCAAAATTCATTTGGAATCAATTGTAATTTTCTACATCTCTAATTCTGTGCGCCGTTATTACTGTTTTTCAGTTTAAAACGAGCGTAACGCGTAACCATAAACTAAATTTAACTGCTTTACACAATAGCTTAAGTAAGACTTTAGTGTTTATCGTAACTATGGCTATTACTCGTTAGTTTATCCCAATAGTAACGGTAACGGTAAACAGTGACGACCGTAACATTACCGGAAATACTTTAATATTTCCTATCTTATTCAAGATTTTCATCGTTTTTTTCATGAATTTTCCCAGCCATCTAGCTCCCATCTTAAGTGAGATAGTGACATTGATCAATTAATACACTCGGTTTTTCGTCACCCTGACCCTGTAACAAATTTCTACATCACCTGTTACCTACTTGATACTGATCAGTAAATAAGTACACAGTTTCCTACTTAGTTCTTCGATTAGTACCGTAACAATTAATTCATTTTATATACCTTACAGAGATTCGAACGACTTTAACGTCACCTAATAAGCGTATTTTTCAATACGTGACACCAGAAATTTAAGTAAATTCAATATTATAGCTGTATAAAATTAATTTTTTTAAACAAATCACGTGATGTATATACTAATAAACTAGTATAATGGAAAGAAAAAAAAGATCGGGTAGTAACACCAATTACATTCCCCTATATACAGGGCCACACTGTTAACTTTCCCCCTGTCTGTAGGGATTTACGTAGATAGTGGGAATTAATTCCCCCCATATCTCTTGTAACTGGTTTCTTAATGAACAGACAAGCATACAGACGTGTAATAAATCAAACACAAAACCTTATTCATATTCAATTAGCATTACTAACTCAAGCGTAACTTTTGCTAGGAACGAGTGAAACTTTTCACAAATATAATAAGACGTTACAAAATTGTTATTATAGTAGTAAATGATACATTTATACGGCATTATTATGGCATTAAGTTGTTACGTTACGTTGAAAGATAATTATAATAATACAGAGAAGGGGGGAAAAAGCGGAAACACTTTTTCTTTCGAGCAGACACAACTTCCTGTATTACAGACGAGTGCGTGCGGAGCCTATTGTCTGATTAGGACTCTTATCCAATCCTCTTCATGTTACCCCCCCTAATCCACATTGTTTGTAGCATTACTTACAAACTCGACCTAATTTTTTTCTCATGCTACTACCCAGTAATCCCCCATTAAGTGAAAAAGGGGCTTAAAGTTGGTGGTAAAATAATGAAACACCATAAAGAAACACGGAGGGGGCGACTCAAAATGGGGTTTTTATTTTCTTTGGGGATAACAAATCCCCCAAGTTGGCTAATAATGGCATTAAGTAGTAACGATATCGATGCTACTCGCGCCCAGTTTCTTTTAATAATTGCTAGGTGTTACGTTAGACAAGAATTTGAGCGTAACGGTGACGTTATAGAAGAATTTGGCGGAGAGACGATCGGTTTAAAACGTAACTATACCCCGAAATAACAAAATTAGACGAACGTAACCGTCACGACCGAAGTCACGGATGGCCTGGGGCATCGATATAACACCTGGTCAACCGGTACAACAGATGTTACTACATTAACAATAGTATAGTAAGGTGGGTACTTACCTCATCTTCTCCCGTGGTGTCCAGGCTGTGGCTGAGAATAGGTGGGCTATCAGTCTCTGATACAGACATCAGGGTGCTGGGTAAAATCTGTACACAAAAAACAGTGTGATTGGCGTGCTGTAATTGTGAATAAGTGAGTGAACGTGAGTGTGAATGAGTGAGTGAGGGTTATAGAAACGTATAACTCGTATCGGCTACATGTACGATACGTGTGCGCATAGACCCGTGCCCAGAGACCAGAGGGAACAGAGCAAGGTGTGCTCACCACGCCGTTCACCTAGCTGTGACGTTACTTCCTGTGGTCACGTGACGCGCCATCGATCGCCGCGACTGGAGGAGTGCTCAGGTGAGAAGTCAGTGTGGTTGGCCGCTCTGAAATAATTATTAAGAGAGATGATAGTGAAACAATTACATCAGCGACAGAAAGAAAACTTTGATAGATATCACTTTACCGCATAATTATTAATGATCCAATTGGAATAATATAAATAAACATGCAGCAGCAGCAGCAACAGCAACAGAAGCAGCATCATCTCTGTGTGAAGAAATGGCAGCGATGTGTATACATATGTACACATGTACAGCCTTAAAACGAAATTAACGTTTAGTACGGAGCGCGCGGGGGGGTATGTGTGGGCTTTATACGTTTCGTTACTCCCTTCGCTTAACTCATTTAGCTGTCTGCTCTTCGTTCTTTATCGCCGATACCGTAAAATTATCAATATCCCCTATTGTTTATACCCTATAAACAATAGTTGGTAACGCCATCCCCGTAAATAACCCTTATATAAAGCGTTAAATGGCTTAAAAACCCAGTAAATTGACTGATTTACCTCACTCGTTTACTTAGTTTAATTATATTTTTGGGTCGTTTACCTTCTACGCGTTATAACGGGGGAGGTCAGATTATTTCTACACGATAAAGAAGTTTAGCTAAATGAGCTTATATAACCGATTTTATCCCACTGATACGTCAATTCAGCTATATTTCGTGTTACTTAACGTCTATGCAATATACAGGGCTTAGCATTAACCCTGTAAAGCACGTAGGAGGTTAGTATCATAAGCAGTTCTGTCACGTGATTTGGACTTGGTTATTTTTTTTATATATTGTGAATCATCATACCCATAACATACTACAAACTACGGACGTAACACCACCCTAGTTAATACGTAGAAAGTTAACAAAATGGGCATAGAAACCACCAAATTCTTCCATTCAACTATGTTTACGGGTTCCTTCTCTCTACCCCATTACACGAGAGGTAACCTCCCCTATATAACACCTAGATTAGAAAATGGGCAAATTCAATTACGTGACTCCCCGAAATGGGCATAGAAACCAATAAATTCTTCCATTCGCATATTAATTCAACCATATTTACGGTTTCCTCCCCTCTACCCTTTACACCGGACGTAAAGCCACCCAGAAGATTAGAAAAATGGGCAAATTCAGCCACGCGACCCCCCGAAATAAGTCAAATCCGTCCCTTCACATATTAATCCTCCCTCTACCCATTACGTAAAGCCACCCCGCAAAACATTTAGAAGACTGTCAAATTCAACCACGCCAATCCCCCCCCGAAAAAACGGACACAGAAACTCCGTTTATTTCCTATATATTAATTCGGACACATTTAACAAAGGGGGGAGGACGTACGAAACTTTCGAAAGAAAACACCCCTAGTTAAAGGTAAGGCGAAGACATTAGCAGCAAAACTCTGCCTTAGTTATTATGTGGCTGATAAATATGTTTCTACTCCACACACAGACACACACACAGACACACACGATACAGGTAGAACGCAGGCGCAGTGTTATATACCTGTACTTGGATCGGAAAGGAAACACCTGTCCAATGTCTTGCGGGAAAAGCAACCACTCCGAGAGTGACATCTCTGTAAGGACTGAAAGATTGTTTATGATGTTTGCAAGATACACTTTGCTTTAAACGAATATTTTACCTTGCAACATGGCAAAAATGGTTTTAAAGTACGTACAACTGAAATTGCCTTTACCTTCATCTAGATTAAGATAAAGTAAAGAAATATTTGCATGAACAGATGCTACACGAAATTTATTCTCAAGGCCTCTTTCCTCTTCTTTTATCAAATTCCTTAAGATTTTAAATTATAAATTATTAAATGCAATTGTTATTATTATTATTATTGTTGTTGTTGTTGTTGTTGTTTTTAATTGTCGATGTTTGGTGTTCGGGAAATAATCGATTAATCGATTTCTTTAAAAATTTACTGTCTTTTTTTTAAAATTGTAATTGTGTGAAATCGCCGCAAAAGTGAATCAAGTTTGGTTATTTTGTTTTTTAATTATTAAATTTTATAATTGAATTTTTCAATTATTAAATTTTTCAGTTGAAATTTCACGTTAGTTATTTGAATTTTTAATTTTTAAAATTTCATAATTTAAAATTTTAATTATTAAATTTCACAATTGAAATTTAACTGATTAAATTTAATAAATAAATAAAATTTCGCTTTTAGTTATTTTTTTAAACTGATTTTTTCCTCTTATTAAATTTGAACATTTGAAATTTCGTATTCAGTTATTTATTTAATTGAAATTACACTAATTGAGTTATAAACGACTGAATTTCTCATTCGATTATTATTTTTTTATTGCAAATTTCATTAATTAAATTTAGCAATTAAAACTTTATTTTTAATAATTAAACTTAAGAGCTAATTTAGTTTGGTTTTTTTTCAAATTGAAATTTCAATAATTAATTTAGTAATTGAAATTTCTCTCTTATTTATTTATTTATTTAATTAATTTAAATTTCATTGATTAAATTCAACGAGATTTAAATTCATGAAATTAATCGAAATAATTCGTAGAATTAAAATTTGACAAATGAATTTGAGTGAAATTCTTATCGTTAGATGCGAAAATTTTCAAGTGAATTTAATGAAAGGAGTGAAATTTAGCTAGAATTAAAATTTAATTAATTAAAATTAGGTGAAATCGTTGATAAAAAAAAGTCCAAATTCGGCAATAAATCGTATGAAATTTCTATATTTTGGCATGAAATTATGCTAGTAGACACTTGAAATTAAGTGAAATTCGGTATTTTTACAATTTAATAATTAAAAATTGAATGAAAATCGATAAATAAATTTGTAAGTCGGAGAAATTTTAGTGAAATTCTCGAAATTTAGGATTAAAAATCATCGATAAATTCAACGAAATTTTCTGTGAAATTTAATTATTATTTAAAATTCAATAGAACTTTATTATTTAGAATTAAATGAAATATATATATATATATATTCCTTTAAAACTGAAATTTTATCAATTGAAAAGGAATTAAATTTACTACAAATTGAAATTTAACAGCATAAAAAAGAAGAAAAAACTGGAGAAAAATCATTGTTAAAGTTGAAATTTAGCTTTAGAAAACCTAATGAAATTTTTATTGTTCGATTTAAACTTTAATAATTGAAATTGAATAGAAATCGTCGAGAGCAACGAAATCCAATAATTGAAATTGAGTTTCTGACGAGACGATTCGTTACAATAACGCTTTTCTTCCTTTAAAAAAAAATATATATATAATAAATAAATAAATAAAAAGGAACTATAAATTGGACGGTTTGACTCGTTACACTAGCGATTTTTTTAAATACTTTATATAATAAAATATGAAGGACGCCTGCTGCCCTATATATACAAGGCAACAAAAGCTTTCAGTTTAGGGCCTGGCATTTTTTTTACAAGTGTCATTGTTTGGTGAAGAAGAAGGGCCTTTTATGTGTTAGAGTCTAGAGCCACAGTTAGTCTAAGTGCAACCCTGTATGTATAAATACAGTCTTTATCATAGGGCCTAGATATGTATGAGCCCGACAACGTAATTGTCGTTTCAAGGAGGCCTCAAAAATGTCTACTACGAAATATTCATTTCGTTAGTTTTAAGGTTTTGTTTAAATTAAGATCTATAAATAAACGTTTTAAAACACTTTTTGTTTAATATACTGTGGCCTCATAAAAGTCCTCCGGGCCTCTTTCTTCAAACTTTTTTTAACAGGTCGCTTTTATAGGCCTCTTTCATGAGGCATCTTTCATAAGCATTTCTTTTTTATCAGCTCGTATTCATTAGACCTCTTTTGTAAGGCCTCTTTCATAAACCTGTTTCACAATGTCTTTTCCATAAGCCCTTTTTTATGAGGTCGCTTTCATTAGATCTCTTTCGTGAGGCCTCTTTCATTAGGCTCCTTTCATAAACCTCTTTCACGAGGCCTCTTTTTTTGTAATATACCTTTCCTTATTCCTCTTTCATTAGGTCTAGGCCTCTTTCGATTCCCAAAGGCCTTAAAATATTATATAGCATTATTATTTTACAGTATTTTATTTATTTACTTTTAATTTTCTACTAAAAGGAAGGGGGCGAGGATGGGAAATGCTTTGCTCATATTTGGCAATTCAAAATGAATTGGCTCAAGTTAGATCCGAAGAGAAAATTGGCTTTGAAAGAAACACAAAGAGAAATATAGAGAAGAAAGTAAGTTAAAATATATATATATATATTTTCCTCAAAAGGAAATTATAGAAAAGACGTTTATCCGGCTTTACCCTATCTCACTCCATATAGAAGTCATGTTAGTCAAAGCTTAGCTAATACTTTGATGTGATTAGTTGAGACGTTAGGACGTGTAAAATGGGTTTTAATGCGCGATTTTCGCTTCTAATGTCTTCTCTACGCTGTACATTTTATGTAAATTATGTACTAAATGCCACTTTATGTACAAGCCCGGCTACCTCCTACTTTATATGTACGCCCTTGCAAATTTATTCCTGTTAAAACTGCTTGAAAAAAAAAAAGAAATGTATCTATAATACGTATTTCTGTAATTCTAAACGTCGAATTTGCATTATTTTTATATTTTAAAGCATTTTTTCGCATTAATTACATATTTTAAAGCATTTTTTTGAATTAGTTGCATACTTTAAAGCATTTTTTTACATTAATTTCATATTTTTAAGCATTTTTTTCGCATTAAATAGCATATTTTTTTAAGAATTTAATGCTCGAAACACGCCATTTTTTTTTCATTAATTCGTGCCTATTAATGGAAAAAAATGGTGCTTAATTTTAATTTTATAATGTTATTTTTATACTTAAAATGTTTGTATTTAATGTTTTCTAATTAAAATTAAAATTGAATTTTTAAAAACATTTTTATTACAAATAAAAAATAAACTTTATATGTATATATATATATATAAAGGAGTTTCTTATTTTATTTTCGAATTTTCAAATTTAAAAATAATTTGAAAAGTTCCTTGTTTGATTGGTTAATTTTTAAAAATACGTCTTCGCTCGTGAGTTATGACGTTTTGA